ATCAATGATTGTTATTGTGTAAAATTTTGATAAACGAAAAGAATTTAAAGAAAATTTATATAAAAAAATGATTTATTATTATATTATTCCCTTTTTTTTTTTTATTTAACAGTTAAATATTAATTATATCACATTTATTTCTCAAATTAAATTATTTTGAAAAAATGGAAAAAAAATGATGCATAAATGTATTTTTCTATTTATTATTATTATTATTATATTTCTTATATTCATCTAATTTTTTTTTCATTTTAACTATAATAATAATAATAACAATAACAATAATAGTAGTAATAATAATAATAATAATAATAATAATAATAATAATAATAATAATAATAATAATAATAATAATAATAATAATTCACTCATTCATTGCAAATTTCAGAATTCTTTAATCATTTATTCAAATTGAATTAAATTTAATTAAATTTGAAACTATATGAAGATTTGAAACATAAGCATGGATGCATCTCAATATGCCTATGCCCAATCATTCCTCATATTACAAATTTAATCATGCAAATGAGCATTTTAATGTCATAAAAGATTAGATTAAAATTAGGAATGAAATATTAAGGTCAATTTTAGTAGTAATTTTTAATTTCTAAATGCTTCCCTCTCATCATCCCTTCAAAACATCTCACATAAAACAATAAAATAAGTATTAAATTAAATTTTAAATTTATTATATCAGTTGCAATTATCATTTATCACACAATATCATCGTTATCATCATCACTATTACTATTATCATTATTATCATCAATTCGTAGTGTAAAACGATCAAATAATTATAAATGCACCATTACTCACAGTTATGCTAATTTTCAACATTAAAATTTGAATTCTTTAAAATTGAAATTCCATTGGGAAAATGGAAAATAAATGGAATAGATTTTGTAACTGACAAATATCTCACATTCTTCATATGTAAATTAAATTTTCAAAGTATAAATTTTATCACTTCATCGTTTACAACAACAACAATAAGTATTACTAATACTACTACTACTACTACTATTACTATTATTTAATCCTTACTAAAACTCGTATAACAAATATATTATGTTTAAGTAATTTTAAAAAATGGAAAAAAAAAATGATAATTCAATTAATTCATATAAAATTATCAAATAAAAATAATTAATATAAAATATTGATTTAAAACACAAAATGAATTTATTAATTTTTGTTCCAATAATTAATTACTTTTATATTTCTGCCTAAATAAATATATGTAAGCAATAAAACTTTAATTTTATAAAATAAAAAAAAAAATACTTATGGATTGTTTAAGTATAGAAATGTAAATATGAAAAAATCAAAATTGAAAAATTTTTAGATGCTCTTTTTTCCTTTCCTTTTTTTTTTTTTTTTCAAGAAAACAAACGAAGTCAAAATCGTACATTTCAAAATGAAATTCAAACTTAAAAAAGTGTGATTTTTTCAAACTGACACAAACTAGTTTTAAAATGTTTAAAAATATATAATAATGAAAAAAACTTCACAAAATTTTTTGTTATGCATTTCCATCTAAAAAATATAATCAATCAAAAGTTATTACTGAAAACATTTGTTAAATAATTTAAATTATAAATTACCATCAAATAGAAGTCAAAATTTAATTCATAAAATGTTAGTAATGTTTAATCTGAATGATAATAGAAAATAATAACAACAGCAAAAAAAAAAAGGGGAAATTTTAATTAGATAAATAAATTTAAAAAAAAAAAAAATGCTATTAAATTTGAAATAAACAAGAAATGTAGAGCAAAAAAAAGAAAATGTAAAACTAAAAATACTTTATTCTAAACTACAATTTTTTAAGGTAATAATAATATTTATAGATGATGGATCAATTTATCATCATCATCATTATCATCATTTTAAAAAGATTTTCGTTTCGTTATAAAAAAAAATTGCAAAAAATTTCAAATTATTTGAGTATAATATTTTTAAAGTTTAAAAAAATAAGAAAAATATTTGAGTGTTGCTTAATTATATTAATTTTCTGTCATTTTTGCTACTTCTTTTTGCTCATTTTCAATAAGAATTAGTGTTGTTTTAGCATAAATGTGACTGATTACAGGTGTATAAATTGAATAAACTAAACCATTGCAATTTATAAATGAAAATAACTTCAAAGCTTTTCATCCATTTGCGCTAATTTCTATTCATTTGGATGGATGAGAATAGAATGAAAATTGCAATTCTGAAATGACAGGAAGAAACAATTCAACTAATGAATTTCTATTTGTTGGATGAAGAGAGATTGTTTATCCATTAGAAAAGATAATAATGGATGATTGGGCTGATAGCGATAGTAGTAATAACAGCAATAATAAGACGATTATAGTAATGGTAATAATAATAATAAGAAGAAGAAGAAGAAGAAGAATAGGAATAATAATAATACAATAACAGTCATAATAGCAATGCCAATAATTAATAATAATAATAATAATAATAATAATAATAATAATAATAATAATAATAATAATAATAATAATAATAATAATAATAATAATAATAATAATAATAATAATAATAATGATAATGATAATGATAATGATAACAGTAGTAAATGAGTAAAATAATTAATAATAATAAATATATAAATAAATGGTCAAATAATGATAATGATTTTGAAGATATATGATTATTTAGATGATTATGGGAGATAGACAAATGACAAATATAATATTATTAGAATTATTAATAATGACAGTAACAATGCTAATAATTTTCATATAATGGCGATGGCAGACAAATAATTAATTATATTATATGCTACCACCAATTTGTTATTAATTTAAAAGTAATACATTTTAGCTTTGAATATTTTATTTAAATTAACTGTTTAAATTTTATAAATCAAAATTATTTTATATATATTTTTGTTATACAAAATTTTTCTAATGCTAGCAAAAAAAACATTAATTTATGCACTGAAAACATTAGTCTGTTTTACTCAAAAAATATTCAAAAAAAAAAAATTAAAAAATTATCACCAATGTTTGTACAAATTCATACATTTATCTAATTAATTAATTAATTAAAAATTTCATTTATTCATTTACGATAAAAAAAAACTAATCATATATTATTATTATTGCATTAATCTTAATTTATATTTAATGTTATTAATAATATTACTATATTAATTGTTTTTTTTTTTTTAAATTCTAAATGAAATGAAATTTTTTGAATAACAAAATAAATTTATTTTTTTTGCTTTTTATTTGTTTATTTATTTATTTTTTTAAAAATACTGTCATCTAATATTAATTGTTTGTATAAAATTGAAAGGAATTTAATTCGTTTTTATTAATTAATAACAAATTCAATTTCTTTCTTTCATATTATAATTAAATAAATATGTTTCACAGTGTGTACATTTATACATATGCAACTACTGCTGCTAATATAAAGAGGAAAAGGAAATATGTAAATTAGCAGTCATTTGTCGTGAGAATTTTATTGGGCATCTTTCAGTGCTTTCGCTGTGGCATTGCAAATATCAAATTAGAAATGTTTGATCATTTCAATGGTTCTTTCACAAAATGAATAATAATAATAATAATGATAATAATAATAATAATGATAATAATGATAGTGATAATGATAATAATTAAATATCAAATTAGAAATACAGTTATCATCCATTTAATGGTTATTTGATAAAAAATGAATAATAAATAAATGAATAAATAAATAATAGTAATAGTAATTAATAATATCAATAAATAAATAAACAATATTAATGGTAATAATAATAATAATAATAATAATAATAATAATAATAATAATAATGATAATAATAATAATAATAACAATAACAATAATGATAACAATATTTGTGGTAATAACAATAGTAGTAATAATGATAATATTAGTAACAATAATAAATAAACAATAATAAATAATAATGACAATAAATAAATAATAATAGTAAATAAATTAATAATAAATAATAATTGCATTTTATTATTTACAATTTAAAATTTTGTTTATCAAAAAATTGATAAATAGAAAAAATATTACTAAAATATAAATGTGTTATCGATTTTTTTTAATAAATTGGCTGAAGAAAGTGTAAAATTATGAAAGAAAATTTGTATAATTGTTATTAATTTGAAATTTATCCTTATGATCTCTATTGATTTGTGTGTGTAATCAATGCAAAACATAAATTATCAATGATTCCTCTTATGCTATCAAAGATTTCTCATAAAATTATCATTTAAGAAAAATAAATTAAATTTGTATTTCATAGAAAAATAATGTTTTCCTCTTTTAGTTGAAAAAAAAAAAAGAATTTTTTTATATGTTAATTAAATTTTTTTTAAAAAAAAACTTATATCTAATAGAGATTAAACTTTGAAATGTTAAAATAAAAAAGAAAAAAAAAAATAAACTTTCATACTCACTTGAATTTATCAATCAAATTAATATAAGCAAATGAAGGCAAAAATGTAATTTTCTCTCAAAAAAGAAAAACATCTATTTAATATCTCTGTGACAAAAAAAAACAAACAAAATAAACAAATAAATATATAAATGCATAAACAAACAAATAAATAAATAAACAAAACAAACTTTCATTTATTGTTGAAAAATAATCGTAAAATGAATGTAAAATTGAACTAATTTTTGCTATAAAACTATTTCGTTTTCGATCAAAAAAAAAAAAAAAAACAAAAAAATAAAGAAATAAAGAAACTAAACGTTGAAACTTTTTTTTTGTTTTTGTTTTGTTTTGTTTAATAGCTCCAAACTACTTGGCTCTTCCTTGGCTCGTCTTGTAACATAGGCTAATTTGATGTATCATCCCTTCATGGCCAAATTTAGCAAACAATCAAAAGTGTCACCAATGTGACATCTCATGCACACACGCACATACATATTTATTTCATCCTTGAAACTATTTATCCCTGGGGAAATTATTTGTGAGAAAAGTTGACGAAATGTTGCCTATAACTATTATTATTAGAAAATAAATGTAATATGACCAATGTGTTTGCGTGCATGCGTGCATGCATGCATGCATGTATATGCATTAGAAGCACATCTTAATATTTATGAACAATAAATGAATTTAATGAAATAAATTAAATAATGTGAGAAAAGTTGATGAAAAAGTTACCAATGACTAATATTTAAATAAAATAATAATACATAAAGTATGTAAAAATTTTTTATTAAATTAAAAAAAAAAATTATATTACATTAAGTTTTTTTTTTTTTTTTTTTAATGAATTAAATGAATATTTTTTCTTTGTTTTTTTGTTTTATTTTATTTTATTTTATTTTGCTTTTCTTTCCTTTTGTTATAAATTTAATGTAAATGAAATTGTTTCTCTTTTTTTTTTTTTTTTGATTAAAAAAATGATAAAAATAAAAAACAAAAAAAAAAAGAAAAGGAAAAGAAAAAAAAGTTCAGATACGTTCATTTGATAATACATTTGTCGAAATATTTGTGTACTCTTTTAAGCCATATGGTTTGTTTATTTTTTGTATAACAAAAAAAAGAAGTTTAACAATTTTTTCAAGAAATCCCACATTCGTTTTAAATAAATGATTGTTTTGTTCATTGATTAATGAATGAGAGGGAGGAAGAAAAGAAAAAAAAAAAGATAAAATAAAATAAATTAAATGATTTATTTTTGAATAAAATTTTCAATAAAAAATAATGCGACAAAATTTGTTTACCAAAATGCAAAAAATATATTTTCGTTTTATTTGTAAAAGAGAGCCAAAAAAATTACTTTGTTTAACATTTATTAAGCATTAATTATTGGTACAAAAAAATTTTTTTTTCCAATCTTTCAATTACAAAAATTTATTAAATTAATTGCATCAAATATTTCACATTTTTAAATTCATTAATGTTTTTTAAAACATTTGTGCAATAAAAAAGAAAGAAAAAGAAAAAGATTTTTTTCATCGATAAATATTTTTATCATTTATTAATTTATAATATTAAAATTTCTAAAATTTTTCCATTATATATTGAAAGCAATCAATTTATGATACCATTAATTAATTAATTTGTTAATTAATTACTAATATTTTTTCATTCGCATTTTTCATTTAATTCTCTGATATTTTCCGTGAAATTATCACAATAAAATTATATTATTCACAAAAAAAAAGAAAAAAAAAAACTTTTTAATTTTATTTTAAAAAATTGATATATGTAAAATTTATTACAAAATATAATATCAAAATGTTCAAAATCTTTCCAATACATTCATTCATCAATCACTTTCTTTAATCCTTCCTCTTCTCTCTCTCTTCCCTCTCTCTCTCCCTCTCTCTCCCTATTACTCTCATAAAACATTTCCTGCATCATTCAAAAAGTCTAAAGCTAGCGCATGCATGCATTAAATTCTATTTTATACATAATGTTACACATTTCCGGTTATGTCAAGAAGTCTAAAGCAATGGATGAATGCATGCATGCATGCATGTATTCTATAATTTATATAATTTGAACATGCTGCATGCATTGCATATATCCGATATGTAATGAAAAGCTAAAAGATATTAAAATTTATATGCATATATTAAATGTAAACGTGTATGTATTACGCTGCAGCACCATGCATGCAAATTGCATCATATTACGTCTCATTATGCTAAAAGGCAGCTCATCCAGATATTAGCTAAATTAAATATGAGACAAACATTTGGTTCTGAAAGATGCAAATAGTAACATAAAGTAAAATTAAACTAATATAACAACAATAGCAATAATAATAGCAATAATAACAGTAATAATAATAATAATAATAATAATAATAATAATAATATAATAATAATAATAATAATAATAATAATAATAATAATAATAATAATAATAATAATAATAATAATAATAATAATAATAATAATAATAATAATATTGCTTATCAATACTATCGCTATTATTGTTTTTGTTACTGACATTAATAATATTATTGTTGTCGTTATTCTACTATTATTATTTATTAATACTGTTATCATTATTATTATTATTTTTTACTATTAATATTATTATTTACTGTTATTTTGTTTATTGTTATTATTATTTATTATTACTATTATCATTGTTATTATTGTTTATTATCATTATGAGTATTAACAGTTTCGTGATTATTATTACTGTCATTATTATCATTATTGATTATTATTATTAGTCCCGTTATTATTGTTAATATTATTATTATTAATATTGTCGTTATTACTGATTATTATTATTATTATTATTATTATTATTATTATTATTATGGGAGTTTTTGAATTGCATAAATTTAATAAATCTATTATTATCAACAGATGTAATGAAGATGACATTCTTTAATGCTTCCATTACCAAATTTAAACATAATTTGGAGATGCTATTAAATTTGATAAGCCTAATTTCAAAAAGTGTTTACTTTAGATTTGCCAAACTACTGGTTATTACTTATATTTACCTTAACCATTAGGAAAATGGTTAGTTTCTACTAATCCATTTTCGTTTCCGCTTCAACGATAACATTTATATGATTAAACATTTGTTACTCATTTGATATTAATATCAAAATATTTAAAGTAATAGAAAAAAGGTAAATAAACAAGTGAATAAACAAATATATACCAATAAATGATAATATTAATTAGATCATATTACAAAAAATAAAATAAATAATTGAATAAAGTTACATAATTTAATGTAATAAAGAGTTAATTGATGATTTAAAAAAGAAGAAAGCAAATTATTTTTATTCTTGCATATAGAAAAATTATTTAAGAAAATACAAAATTTCTTACTTTATTTATTAAATTCTCACTAATTATTAATTAATACTACTCATACTTAATGATGATTTTTAGCATCTAATAAATTATAATAAACAATAATCATTGCAATAAACAAAAAGGATTTTATAGTGTATCCATCAATTAAATTTTGCAAAAATTGTTTCTATTAATATATCTAAGTTTAAAATGTTTGTAATAAAATCATTTGATGTAAATAAAATATTTCTAACAATTTGACAAATTGATCGATTTTATAATTTTAATTTGTTAGCTAAAACATAATAAATTATAATTGGACATGGATTTGAAAGTAATTAAAAGAAGGATGTACAATGCTTTAATAATTCAAAATGCATTTGACAAAATGAAATTATGGAAAATATAGCGCATAATCATTTCTAGAAATTTCATTATAAAAATATTTTCTAAAATAATTAGAAAATAATTGAAAAAAAAAATTGTTATTAATACCTATATTATATAACATTTAAAAAATTTTTAAAAATATTCAAAAAATAACATTTAAATATATAACATTTAGAAATATTTTATAAATATTAATTTGCTTATTATTAAATTATAAATATAATTTATTTACATTGTTTATGTGTAATAGAAAATAATTTTTATTTCTATTTTTTCTTTTTATTACTTATTATTCGTTCTTTACTCAAATTTAATTATTTTATTATTCTTTCATTTGTTTTTTTTTTCTTTTTTGAAATCTAAATCGGAAAGTAATAAATTCATTAATTTAATAACAATAATTATAATGATGAAAAAAAAATAGCAGTAATAATAATAAAAGTAGAAAAGAAAAATAAAATTTAAAGATGCAAAAATTTTAAATATTTTGAAAGGAAGCAAAAAGTTTTCAAAAAAGGAAAGTAAACATTTTGCTTAATTAATATATAATCTTATTTGTTTATTCGACTAAATAAACAAAACAGATTTGATCGATTTTTTTTTTTTTTTTTATTTCTTTCTTTATCAATGAATTATGTTAATGATTTTAAGTAATAAATAATATCAATAAAAGATAAATGAAAAGATATAATTCTAAAAAGGCAACAAATAAATCCCAAATATCACATCAATCATTATCAATGATCCTTTCTATTCATGATGGCATTTTAATAAGTAAATGAAAAATTTTGGAGAGAAATTAAAATTGTTAAATTGGATTAGTTAATGATGTATTAGTGATAATATCATATTATTATTTAGTGGATGAATCATTCTGATAATTTGTATACATTTTCAAATTATATCATTTAAACGGAATAACATTTGCATTATTAGTAAATACTGTAATCAGTAATTCAAATTTTATCATCTTCTCTCTTTTCATCTCTTTCCCTCTCTCTCCCTCTCTCTCTCTCTCTCACTCATTTCATCTTTTTATTTTTCGTAAAAATTTTTAATAATAAAAACAATTGAAATGATGGATTTTCTTTTTTTACTGTATTATAATCAATAATTTAATTTATTTAAAAAAAAAAACTTTTAAAATTGATGAAAAAGCAATACTTTTAACGATTAGTACCTACGAATAAAACGAATAAAATGTTGAACTTAGATTATTATCATTTTTATCAAGTCTTCTCTTCTTATCAATGCTGCCTTATCAGACTTATCAAAATTTTCATACCAGTTCATTGAATAATAACCAGTATGCTTATGAGTAGTTTTATTTCTTATCATTTCAATGGATCATAAAATGCTACTAATATTAATATGCATTTTAACAGGTCGTATTAAAATATTCTTATCAACTTTAACAAATAAAATTATATTTAAATTAAAACTTGCACGACACAACGATAATGATAACAATGATAATGATGATAATGACGACAACAATAATAATAATGGTAATAATAATAATAATAATGATAATAATAATAATAATAATAATAATAATAATAATAATAATAATAATAATAATAATAATAATAATAATAATAATAATAATAATAATAATAAAATTATAAACAATATTTATACAATTTAATTTATTTATTTTATTATATCATATTTAAATGTTTTTCAAAATATTATATGAAAAAAAAAAATTGAAATAAGAGCAAATTATGATTTAAATAACATAATGATAATGAAAACAATCTAATAATCTATATAACCAAATGATAATAATGATAACAACTTATCACATATAAATACAAAATTGTATAAAAAATACAACGAAATAATATTTTATTTTACTATTCTATAAAATATTTAGAGTAATAATATTTGCTAAATAAATATTTTAAAAGGAAATAAAAGAAATT